TCTACACTCATCTCCAGGCCAGCGGTCACTCTTTCAGGGATGAAGATGTTCACATCCTGGATAGAGAGGAACGATGGTTTGAGAGAGGAGTAAAGGAGGCCATCTTTGTGAAAAGAAATCGTCCATCGTTAAACAGGGGTGGAGGCCTCCAGGTTCAACTGTCCCCCTCTTACAATGCTGTGATTGCTAGTATCACTCAGCCCTCTGTGAACAGTAAACAGCCATCAGTGTGCTAATGATCCATTGTTAGGCTGATGGTCCTTCTTGAGCATGTGATCAGCTGGTTTTGGTTGTCAGCAGCAAAACTGGTTGATCCACTCTGAGAAGGTGCTATTTAAGAGACTGAGCTGAAAACAGCACCTCAGACTGAGGAAGTCTCTTGGATGAGAGACGAAACGTTTCTACATTTTTTTGTTGATTTGCTTGGTTTTTTTTTTTTTTTTTTTTGAATGTCCAGAGGACCAGATTTAACTTTTTTAGATACCTTGTTATTCATTCATTCAACCTTTATTTAGACAGGTATCCCAATGGGAAACATTTTATTGGACTAAAAGTGCAACAGTACAGTACATTTGTGTCACAACTGAGAATTATTAAAACTTCCATTATTTAAATATAAATTGCATGGTAACCTTGTTCTTGTTAGACTATGTTGTATTTTAAGATTCAGCTTGTGTTGAAAATGATTGTCTTCACCAACGAATATAGCACAGCTGCAGTTTACCAAAGGCTGAACTGACATATCAGCTCCACAGTTCTCTTGAAGTGTAATACAAAGATTAGCAAACTGAGACAGTCCAACCAGTTCCTGACAAACAAAGATTTTATTTTCATTTTTGTTCATTTATTGACTTACCATCATTGATCTGGAGCTCATAACTTATCAGTCAGGGTACAGTACTCTACATTAGAGGAAATAAATGAATAAACCGAGCCGCTGTTTGCATTACAGGAAATGTGACCAGACCTGACATGGATTTCATTGACAAGCTTCTATTTTCTCTTCTTCAGCTTTTTCAGAAAATCCACTGTCAACTCTTTGTGTTTGAGACAATTACCTCAACATCTTAAACACTTTGGGTTTTGCACCTTGCATCAGTAAAACCACATCACCCTTTCATGAACTGTCTTAAAAAATAAATGAAAAATTGTCACTAAGTTATTGTTGTTCGGGTTTAGCTTCTTAAAATCTGATTATACGGTCTGCATTAAAGGTAACATTAATGTCGACCAAGTAAGCAGACTGAAAAGGAATACAGAGTGAGACGTACAAAAGTAAGTGATCTTTATTTACAGTGCAGCAGCTTTTGTGCTGGAAGGGAAACAGGACAAGGTGAGTATCTTGGATTACTCAGTAATTTTGCGACAATGGTTTTAATAACAGTAAATGACTCTTTCTTACCGTTATGTTTGTAGACGAAGCCAGGGACGAGATGAAGACAAGGTTCTGGGTTTTCGTGGAAGAATAGAAGATCTGAAAGAGGAGAGGAGAGCAAGTTGTTGGAGATTTAGACGTTGTGATTTGATAGTTGAAGGGACAATGTTGATCCACAGGAGAGTCACGAGGAACAAGGAAGGTCTTAGGAAAGACTCGAATGAACAGGACTAGGAAGTTTCTGGAGAAGCTCACAAGAAGTTAGGAACTAGCTGTTTGGAAACAGGAGTCGGCTGTCCATACAATTACCAAATGGTAGTAAATGTCCCAGCCACTAGGAAAACGTCTGGCAGGAGCTTTTAAACTCAGCAGAGCAGTCCGTCCCAATCAGCGGCAGGTGGTGAGAGATGGTTGATTGGTGCAGCTGTGGAGAGAGTGAGTGTGGCAGAGAAAACCCAGGAATCCTACAACAGGATGCTTAAAAAACACTTTTTAAAGTATTAAGGAATAACTTGTAGATTCTGTCAAGTGATATAGATCATCAAAAATTTCACAAAATATGTACAGAACTTTATGTTGTCAGAGTCAGAGTCAGAGTTTCTTTATTGTCATTCGCACCTCATGTGGTACATGTGGTGGAGCGAAATTATGTACACAGGGTCCCAGTTACATCCAACAATAAAATGTATAAGAAAAACAGTAATAACATCTAAGATATGAACTAAGAAAAACATCAACTAAATATACACTAAGCACTCATAACATAAAAACATTGAACATCAGCACAAACATGAACATGAGTCTGTGAGCAGATGTGCACGCATGAACACATCAATATTGAAACAGATCAGCAGCAACATGAAACAGATCAGCAGCAACACGACA